TGCTCTCAATAATTTCCTAACAAAAACTGAAAGAACTTAGAGAGAGAAAGAGTCGCTCAAAAGTGAAAAACATAAACAATAGAATGATCGAGAATCATAGCCAAACCAAGAGTCATAATTGTGTGGTTTAATCTCAACCGTATGTTAGATCCAACGGTCCTTAATCCTTTGAAGAAGCACAATCTAAGTTAAAGAATAAGAGCCAATTCGAGGTTACCATGTGGCCATCTAACCAAATCGGTTTTAAAAGAGATGTTAAATGTGAGAAACACGTTTTTCTCTACAATCACTAAGGCTTGCGGACAATACGGTACAAGGAATCATGCATGCATATGTTTTTAACTCATTTTCAACATAGTTTTTTTTTTAATCAAATCTTTCTTTTCTAGAGATTAAATATTCGCTTGGAGAATAAAGTTACAATTGTGTTGATAAAGAGTAGTATCCATTATGTTTTCAAATTAAAAGAAAAAAAATAATAATATAAAGTTATATCCAAGTGGAAGAACTCGTTTAGACATTTATCAAGATATTGATTTATACTAAAGGGGCATGAATTACCTTTTCCTTTTTTTCCTGTCTGAGAAAGTGAAGTCATAACATCATACATGCGAGTATTGTTAATCTATGTACAATCTTAAGTTTTATGTTGCAGCTACAAAATTAGAACAGAAAACAAGAAGGAATTGGAGATTAACAATTTTTTAATCTCCCAAACGAATGAAAGAAAAATAAAAATCCAAGAAATTTATTTCAAAAAAGTCAAGATGCCAAACAAGCCTCCCAGAAGAGCCTATCTCTGTCCCTCTGATGCATCATCTTCATATTTGGATCCTCACAAACCTTAGGTTTCTTGAATTTCTCAGCCACCACAGATTCTTCAGAGGCATTAGGCGCCACCACCTCCGCCGCCTCGTAACCACCACAATAATATTGCTCTACCATATCCTCCACTTCTTCATGGTTGCCATCATTTTCAACCTCTTCATCATCTTTCAAGCAAAAAAACTCCACCCTCTGATCAAAATCATTTTCAATTTCCTTAATGCATTTCCAATCAAACGATCCATAGCTGCATGATTCTGCATCATCCTCGTCCTCCACGAACGAGCCCACAGTGGCATCATCAACACCGTCAATCTCAGAATCACCACTGGCCTCAAAAAGCATCAAACAAGACACATCAAGAACTGCCCTCGTATCCATATTATCAGAGGAATCCTAAAACCCACAAAGAAAATCGATAAAAATGAACGTATAGATACACTTTATATACAGATTTTTTTTCTCTGAGAATTTACACGAAAAGATGAAGTGGGCTGTCTTGTTTGACACTTCATTTTTTGTGGTGCGTTAACTGTTTGGTTTTGGCAATCTATAGGGGCCTACCATAGACACATTATTTGCATTTTTTGGGGGTGGTGTAGGGTGTCGTGATATAAAAAAACATTGGAGACACATGCCTTCTTCTAGAAGGTCGGCACACGGTAAAAATTAAGAATAATCATATTCACTATCGTAATCTTTCTACGTGACATATATGTGCCGTTTTGCTATTTTTAATATGTTAATGTGGTAATTTTTTATTATTTCATGCATCAAATAACAAAGAATACATCAAATAACAAAATAACATGTGTATGCTGTAGCGTAAGAAGACTATCGATAATTTTCAATATGAATCGCATTACTCAAAAATTAATCCACCAAACCTTTTTTTTTTTCTAGAAGAAAATTGGAACTAATCCCCTCGTACCTGTCTGATAATAAATTACTTAGGATTTAGGACACTTCAGTGAGATTTTAGTTTTTTTTTTTTTCACGTGTATTTAATTATTCATTTTCTATGTTTTCCAATTATGAGCATGTTTAATTATTATCATTCACGTTTGTCATATATTTTTTTTATTTACATATTTTGTAAGATCCAAACTTATATTGAGCAATACCCCCACACTCCATGTGACTTTAAAATCCTATTAGTCGAGCACTAAGTTTAAATCCATGTTATTTATTATCCGTCATGAGACTTGTGTATTGTCCGGAATGTGTTTCGATGTCTTAAGTCAAATATTGTTTTAAATTACTTTATCGATATAAGAACGCCTTGAAAAAAATATTGTCGTGTTGAAAAATTACACTAAAATCAGTAAATTTATTGATATAAGAATTGCAAATTATTTACTTATTTATTAATTGTTAAGTCTTTAAGAAATATTGCTTTCTTAAACAAAAAATGGTAAGACCATAGATTTTTACTAGAATTTCTTATAGACGACTATAATGACCAATTATTTATTTGACTAAGTGTAGAAAGTAATATAATTTTTTTAAGAGTTTCTAGAAGAAATTATTATGTTAAAGCAAAAATAGACATTTTTTTCAATCTATTTTGTGACTTTAGAAAGTTGATTGATAACAAGTCAGCACGAAGCGATGTATCAAGTTTAAACATGAGACGACCGCTCAATAAAAAATAGTTTTTATAAATCAAATCATGAAAATAATATTGCATTTAAGTCTATAACTGATAAGGGATAAAAATCTCATATCGAATAAAAATGAAAATATAAATCAACTTATAAAAGATTGTGTTACTTTTCTTAATAATGTTAACATTTTTAATATGAAATCTTAAATTTTAACATGGTATCAGAACATGTTAAACTCCAACGAGTGATTCGATCCGATTAAAACTAAAAAAATTGAGCACACAGATTTCAAGATTGGTAAGCTCGAACGAGCTACCATCTCGTGGGGCATGTTAGTAGATTCAAATTTCACATCGGAGAAAGATAAAACATAGATCAACTTATAAAGGATTGAGTTACTCCTCTTAATAAGGTTGACATTTTAACATGGAATCTCAAATTTTATCAATATCTTTTATCAATATTTTAAGCACACATTCTATGAAAAAATTCACTTTTAACAAAATCAATTCTTAAAAAAGTTAAGTCAAATAGGGTTAGGTGTTCTGTGCAAATTTCAATGCAAGATTAAGGGTTGTTGCACTCAAGACCCAATGGTCTCTTGGACCGACCGGCCACCTAAAAAGATTTGACTTCCTTAAGATATCACTAATAATTGTGCTTTGTTACACATTTGTTGAACACTTCTTCCTACAATTTAGTGAACTACAAGTCAATAGTTTATCATAATCCATCTTCAAGTTGTACAAATGTACATAATTAAGTAGCCATTAAGATCAATTAGACAACAAAATTCAATGTTTTTGCTTGGAAATTGATTTTCAATAGTGGCGTGATTATATATTCCGATGTATTTACCTCAAACACTATTATAAAAACTAATTTGAACATTGATCTGAAAGTGGTAAACGACTAAATCGATAATAAATAATAAATATAAATATATCTCCTGTTTGGTGAAGATTAAAATCAGATTTTTAGTATACATTGATAAAAGTTACTGAAATATGTGGTTGAAAAATTGTGAGATCCATAAAATATGTGGGTGAAATTAATTGTTACATTGATTTAAATTAAAATTTGAATTTTAATCAGTACCAACCAGTTTTGGGGTGAAGGGTTGGTTCTTTAAGTTACTTGGGGTTCTAATTTTCGATTTTTAGATATAATTAGATTGATTTTTGTTATCATACATTTGAAGTAAAGATTAAATATTGTAGAAATAGCTTTTGACAAAACTATTAAAACGTGTAATTTAATTAGATGGCATGGAGCTCCGTATGGGGCACTTTGTCCCCACTTGACCCAAACATAGTATTTTTCGAAGACTTTCACTACCCTTGTGGTCCTTTGGACGACCCTGGGAGCAGTCTAACAAAGACTCCACCGTGTTAAATTAATCTTACTTATAAGTAAAAAGTTAAATATTTTAAATGTAGATAAACGACTTTAAGGGCACATCATGTGCTCGTTTTATGCTAAACACTCGTAACATTATATATTAATTCGTTGGTTGATAAATTTATGATAAATCTCAAAATTTGAATTAAATTTGTTATCGGTGTATAGCATAAGCGGAGCATCGGTGCTCGTTAGATAATTTCTATTATTATTTTTTATGTATACTTACTAGTATACTTATGAGTAAACTTTTTTAAGTTCACCAATCACGATCACGGAATCTCAAATCCAATATTTTGGATTCTATCTTTTCATTTTTGTTTTATAAAAGAAAATTCGAGGTTCGGCTAGGTCACTTGTAGCTGTGCAGGGCCATGGTTGGACCTAGGTTCAATATTATGAAGGAAATCTTAGTTGTGGAGGCAATCTTGCGAAGATTGCAGAGCCTCTAACAAATTTTGTTAGATATGTAATGATTAATTAATCGACAATGATATCAAATTAAACTTTAGGCAACATTATAGCTTGTTTATTTTTACTTGACAACTACTCGATGGCTTAAGCAAGCATCTTGTGGAAGGGGGGAAGGTAGGTAGTCTTCAAAATAATACAAAAGATTGTGCATGATTAATACACAGTATTGAATGGAATTGAAAAAGTACCGTCTTACCCTCCCTACCAACCACATGCTTAGGCCTCAGGGTACATGTGGAACTCACCCTTCGTAGAGACCTAGAGAACCATCTATTAGTAGAACTCAGTGGTAGATTCAGAGACGGGCCAGCCTCTGTTACATGTGTAATTTTTTTTTTTTCTTTTTTGATATTTTAGCCCGTGTCCAATTTTTTTTCTGGATCTGCCCCTGACTGAACTTGATATCATATATTGGTTACATAAGAAAGCAAGTCGCGCCCCTCAGGGCATAGCTCAGTGGTGCAAAGGACATGAGTGAGGTAATCTCAGTTAAGCTGACAACCGCAGTGTGATGGTTCGATTCCTACCTCTTACAAGGTATGAAATTGGATTCCATGTGGGCATTAGTATGACAACTCTTGTGCCCTGACCTGTTGATACACATCCCGCGATTTAAGAAAGCAAGTCGCGTGTGGCAAAGGGATTCCTGAAAGAACAAGACACCGAATGATGCGCAGTGGAATCCATTTTTATAGCATAAATTGGGTTTTATTGTTTTAACCATGTCCATAGGTGCAGTTGCAGTTATGATTGTGTTCATTGTACCTGTTATGTTAGAAATGGTTGACAAAATTGACACGTGTTATCTAAGCCTCAATTCGATAGCCATTAGTTCAAATTTTTTTTTTATTTTTAATCACACATTTAAAAAAAATTATCATTAAAAACTTCATTTTGTCAAAATAATGACCACCAAACAGGGGCTAAACCGAGACTAACTAAAATTAGGGATTCGGAACTTAAATATATAGGTGAGATTATTTCATCATTCCACTTTATCAGTTCACGCCATGTTTGGAACAAGAATTTACTTCTAAATTGCCACATGATAATAAAAGGGCTTTCGTTGTCGTCATGGTTTTCAGGTCCATAATTTTCGGGTCCATTTAGCCAGCTCCAGCCCAAATGTTCACAGCCCAGATGGTATCCCCCCGATTCCGAATTGCAGACATCTCTTCTCAGGTCTCAAAGAATCTCATTCCAAATCGATTTTCGTCCCAAATTCGACCTAATCCAATCTGCTCTCGTCCCCTGGTCATCAGCCGACTGCAATAATTCGTGTGAGCAATATAGTTTAGTGTAGTTTTTATGGGTTTCCCCTAGTTTGAGGATGTCTTCTTCCTTGATTTCATCCCAAGGGTAGAAATAGACTATTTTTGCAATTTTTTAGTTGGGTCTTTGTACATTCATAGATATCTTTAACAGTACTTGTTATGTTCTTTATCTTTACGTGGGCCATGCCTATTGCAATACTTGTATTTTGTTTCTAATTTTCATTGTTCTATATAGAACTATACACTGGGTTAGCTTTGAATAGAATATGTTACGTGGATTTAGCTGAACGAATGTCCCGAGATGAGTAATAGTATTGAATTAAACTGAATCATGATTGTTTTTGTGGCTAATTCTAGGCTGTGCTGGAATTTCATCCTCTCCTCTTGCAGAGGATCGAATTTTGACATTGCTATAGCTTTAGGTAGAAGAATTTTGGGATTTTTGTTTTCTTTTTCTATTTTGTTTATCAGTCTTTGTTGTATTACTTTGCTTGGGCTGCATTGCATCACTTGGATTGTGTTGCTAATTTTTATTGTATTTATGTTTGATTAGATAGCTTTAATCATTTAGATAATTTTATGCTTGGTTCTAGAAGCTACTTTTTGTTTATAATTTTTGGTTCTG